GCCTCCGCCGCCGCTGCGACGCGGGACCCGCCACGGACGCAGTGGGCCGCAACAACGACGCACCCCTACACACGATGCGTTGCCAATAATTCAAAGATTTTTTTCGCCACCGGAGACGGAGTGGCTCAATGATAGGGCGCTGACTTCCTGACATAGAGGACACAGATTCGAATTCCTTGTTAGGTTGGAATTCGTAACTAGTTATTGTCATTTAGGGCTGCTCGGAGGTCGACTCAGCCTCCTTTCCAAGTATGTACCCGAATCATTTCTGAGGGTAAAGGCAGCCAAAGCATTGTGCCGTTGGCGACGAATAGGTGGACACCTTCATCAATTCCCCTTTAGGCCAAATCGGTCTGTGTGCAATTGCGCAAGGGTACTTTTATTTTTACCTTTGTGTCATTTTTTGACAATTCAAAACTTTAAAAATAATTTAATAAAAATATTCAAATTGGTATCAATTTATTAACTTTACTTCAAAATATTGAAATATATTATATTTTAATTATCATGATATTTAATCAATTTTTACTTTTCGAAATGTGTTTCTTTTACATTCAATATGTTAGTGTATTGATGTGTGAAACGTCATAATTTCATGTGTAAAAATATTAATTATAAAGTTTAAACTCAAAACTCAACAATTTACAGAAGCTTTTACGTATGATTGGTTTTCTAAAAGAGCTGTTTCTTTGGGGTGCGGAAAATGTTTCCAAAAGCTCGTGGGTGCGAGAAACATGACCTCCAACCTCATTACGCGAATCTATTTTCATCCGTATTTATTGTTACCTGTTTATTTTAATGGAATGTGTTTCTTCTTTGTTAGAGTTGCCGAGACGAACATTGTTCAGTAATTAGAATCCTCAGAGTGACAGTTTGCATCTAGCAAACGTTTCATTGTTAAAATATTGATAATATCGTAGCATCGTGATATTTTGATAAACAAGAAAAACAAAGAAAACCTGTATACTATACACGAAGACAACATTAAAAAATTGCTAAATTAAGGTTACATTCTTTACATTTACTTTGAGATTAATCATATTATTTTTCGCGTTCATCTGCGACTTTCTTTATAACATTTCTTTATACGTTTAAAGTGAATAATTTAAACATTTTAATGAGAAAAACACTACAATCATACTTAAAAAGTGTAATACAAAAATATTTTACTACATATTACTACCCATGTCTTAACCTTGTTTAATTCCCATGCTTAAAGGGTAAGAGAGACATGTGGCTAACATTGACCGTACTTAGCGAACTCCTCCTACTTTGGATTTTCTTCGTCACACAGCTATAGAAACTGAGACGATTCTAAAGAAAAGCTACAACACGGTTTTTGCCACGACCGGAAATCGAACCCGGGATCACAACTAGTACGGTCCCCATGAGCAATCTTAGAGGACAAACGCATAAATATTCCACTTAAAATTATTGAGATTTTGTCCGCAGTTGCCAAGTCTACGCCCACTGTTGGCGCGCCTCGGCTCGCCTCGGCTCGGCGCGCCCCGCCCCCGAGCAGCGCCCAGGCTTCCTGCCGAGAGGGAGAGAGAAAGAGAGAGACGGAGCAGCCGCCGTGCAGCGACGGCCATGCGCAAAACCCGCTCCGGACACGAGGGCTTGGCAGCGCGCCGCGCCGGCTCGCTTTTGGAACTCGTCTTGGCGGAGTGCACTCGCGGGGGGTGCGGGTTGCATCGCCCCTGATGGCAACCGCGGCAGTAGAAACCGCACTAAAAAATTATGCGTCCGCTTCCCAACTCCAGTTTGTGAAAATAATCTTCTAGTACGAAGAGGATGCAGTTGCACGATGTTGAATTTTATTTCCAAATTTTTCAAAGAATTGCAATTCTTCGTACAAACTTTAACGTTAATGTTGTCTTTAAATTAATTTCAACATTTACTTTCTACAGTGGATCTTCTGGTACATTTACGTTTATATTTATGTGTATTAGGTATATTTACGCTGACTTTTTTGTTGTGAAAATTTACAATAAAAAGAAAATTTAAAGTAGTATATTTGCCTGGCTCAGTCATTCTCCATGCTCCAACTTCGAAGATATTTATGTCAATACATTTTCATTGATATTTATGGTTTTTAAATAGATATCATAACAAAAGTAGTTTTTATTATTGTCAGTCTGGTGAAACAAAGCAAAAGATTCATATTCTGCTGGTTCCCCATGCTGCCCTCCCCCCACTGCATGTTCCCTCCTAGAAAACAAGTTTCTTTTTCTAAACTTCTTCCAAAATATACCAGAAGGATTCGACTAAAAATAATGTTAATACATCTTTTCTCTACAAAAAAGTGAGCTATTAATCACGTCTGTAGATGTCTTATAAACCCTAAAACGTAGAACTCTTGTTTAATGTTTTGAAAATGTCAATTTTTTTATCCCAGTGGACCTAAACGTGTTTAATAACACCTTTGTTTCCATATAATGGCCTGAAAGAAGGCTAACAGTAAGCGCACTGAACGTACGCAGGTTAAATAATTACAATGTTTTGTGATTAAAAAGGTCGCGAAGAGAGATTTCAGGAGAGCCAATATATTAATGTATTTTATCAAGTCCAAAAGCTAGCCGAGGATGCCGTCATAATATTACAGCGCAGAACCTCGTACCTGTTTGCGCAGGTTTACAACCCACAAAAACATGTGAAGTGACTGTCTATATCTCAACGATAGAAATGATCATTATCGTATGTGAAAGCATGGAGGGAGGGGTTCGGATGGGTTGCACCCCAGCAGAAGTCTCTAGACTGACACAAGAAATGGAAACCGTCGTCTGTCGGTCGTTGCTTTCAAATCCAATCCCTGCAATGCCATTTTTGAAAAAAAATATCCCATTAGACATCCAGAGCAGAACTTAATAATATTACTTGGGAGAACTATTTACATGATGCGATGGCCAAGCAGTTTCGGAGCTCCACAGAAAAAAAAAACGTTTTGTGAAATCGCCAAACTTAATGGATGCACCGCTCTCCACTACACAATTTTCTCCAGCAATCGACAAGCTCCTGGACATTGTCCCCGCGGGCAAGCAGATTTGTTGAAGTTTGGCTGCTAAAGGTCAAATAATAATAATAATAATAATAATAATAATAATAATAATAATAATAATAATAATAATAATAGTAATAGTAATAATAATAATGCACTATTTGCATTATTTTCACCTCGTCGACGGAGAAAAATTGAAAGCATTCAAAGCATTTTTATGCATAAACAAGGGAACTTTGATTAGGAATTCATACTGGGACCAGTATGGATTCCAGTACATTTTCTAGAGTAACCGACAGTGATGACCGTCAGTGTCAGAAATGGGTGTTGTTGTGGCTGACGCTTTTCACGAGATTTTCTATTCTGATTGCTCAAGACAGAGTGGAAGGGCAACGCTGAAAGACACAAACGGGGACTTCGCCCTCCGTGCGCAGGCTCAAGGAAGCGCTTGCGTATGCCGCTGCCCTGCCTTCACATACCCGGTTGGGGTCCTTCTTACTAAGAGCGGGAAATGGGCTATTCAATTTCAACGCCGCGCTTCGAGACGAAAAGACTATTTGGCGACATCACTAAAGAGCGCTACACCAGCCAATTACGAGATCAAGCCAATAAAGATCATGCTTGAGGATAGATTTGAAGAAAAGGCAACGAGTAATAAGTGTAAAGATTTGTTACATTCAATTATCTTTTTTTGGAAGTAAATTACGTTTACTAATTCAATGGTAGAACACTTTTATTTCAACTGGAATTTAATCACAATTTGCGTGTCTTATCATGATACATAATTTGTTTGACTGCGTAAGGTACTTGGTGCCTATTAACTTGGGAACGTTTGTAGGAACGTTTGAGAGTTTTTACTTTAAATTAATTGAAAATTATGTATAACTGAAAGCAGAAGTAAAAACGGTTAATGCAATCTCACGCCATTTTATGGTAGAAGATCAACAAACGCACATATATAATTCAATACCACTCAATCTCCATCAAAATACTTTTAGCAACAAAAATTATAACTCATTCACACACCAAAAATAATTAAGAGTTATCAAAAAAGCCATCTCTTCGTAGATTTCTCTCTAAGCAACCAGTGAAATGAAACTAAAAACTTTTAGATCACATTTTAACAATTTGTATAAGGTATTTTTACTTTCCCGTATAGTACGTATACACGGAGTAATAAACGTTGTATAGGGAGAGTAATGTAATACTGCGGGAAATCGACTTCGAGAATTCGACGGAAATACGGTCCCCTGATATCGAAAAAAAGGTTATTTTCAAAACCTCGGTCCGTCCGTCCGCCTGTGAACACTACTTGCGCATAAACCATGCGTAGAATTTTTTCCAAATTGAAGAAACCCCTGTCCATCTGATTCGAGTCGAATCTTCGAGATTTTGAAAAACATTCTTTTAAATTTGAAAGTACTTGACATGAATACCCTCCGAACATTTTCAATTTCTTTTCAAAAATTTCTTTCTTTAAATTTTCGTTTTTTTTCCTTTAAATTTCTTGTAATAATATATTAACCTACACATACTCGTGTAAAAGTGGCATAGGTCTGATATAACACAGTTAACTCTAAATTTTCGAAAAATACAAAAGTATGAATTTTTGTCGGTGTCTTCCTACAAATACAAAATTAAAGATAGATATTTTTCTTCAAATGAAATTTGTTGCCCATAATTAGTTATTTTATTAAAGTCAGGTACATTTTTTGAAATTTTTAGTAGTTTTCGTGCAATATTGCGTGCAATTTGTGCAAAATGTGCAATTTGTGTTTTCTCAAAAACGGCTCAAAATTTTTAAAAATGTTTATGTTTATAAACCTTTTGGCAGGTGTTTAAAAAATTTTTAAAATATTAATTTTTTGATTTCTATCACGTCACTAATATTCAAATTAGCGGTAATTTGTTCACATTACTGTATTTACAAATATATCTGCTGTAAATGATGTCAGATAAAAGTTCTCGATAACGCAATCGTTTTATGTGAAAAGTAGAACCAAATTTTGCAATTTCAGAAACGCTCAAAAGCCATTTTTCAAAAAAGTCTCCAATTTTTTTAAAGTTTCCGAAAGGTTAGTGCTAATTGCAATTTTAGTATGACTAAGTTCATTTCGGGATATCTTTTTGGTTTTTCCAAAGTAACATTATTTTTTGAATGATCTCTCACGCCAGTAATACTCGTATGCACAGTTCCAGCAATTTGTAGACACCAATGTATGTATTTGTGAGTTAATGTACTTTAAATTACTTTTAATGAAGTTTTTCGAAAACTCAAAAATATTATATGAAAAGACATTTAAATTTCGAATTTACAATAGCTCTTAAACGTGGTTTTATTAAAAATGCTCCAAATTTTTCAAAGAAAATTATCATTTTGGAAGAGATATTATTGTTTCTTAATGTTCTTAAAATAATATTTCCATTCTACTAATAGAAAACCGAAAACTTAAGAAAAGTTTTAAAAATTTTCTTTGGGTGGCGATAGATGGAAGCAGCGATGTGGTAAGTTCCAATAGGTAGCCGATACCAAAGGAAATAGAAAACTAATACGGGAAAGTCTGTGCCATTCTGTAGCATGACTAGTTGCTTATTCAGGTAACATGCACTAGATTTACAATAATCAAAGGACCCTTTGCCCAGAGGCGGGTTTGAAAGTTGAAATTTATCACAGTACACATATTAATACAGAAGCGCAGCTCAGCCAGTTTTTTGGCAAGTTAGGGATGCCCTCGTCTACTACAGCTAATTATCCTGGTGAAGATCACGTAAAACTACGGATAGCTGCTACTGAAGTATACGGAATTGTTTGTGAATTTCGTTTATTAAAAGCTAATTAAAACATAAAAGATAATTTATATTATTTCGTGGTATTATAGTTCTAGGTTTTCAAGGGCTAGTCATTAAGCAACACGTAAAATTACATCGTACCAACGTTTTAACATCACATTTGACATACATCTGAACATTTTTGGTATGAACCATCTGAATTCTTATACGTATCCAGTTAACACCTTAATAACAATACGTGTCTCGAAAGAGGCGCATTGTTTGGCAGTTATATGCAGCAATAATGATGGAAAGAATCCTGAGTAATGTTGTTTTTTCCTTGTTTAATAGACCTAAGAAGGAGAGACGGAAATTTTTTATTACCTCCCAACAGAAATGTTATTACCTCATATATACTATTATTTTCTACTTTGATTACTCGCACATCCAGATATTTTCATTAACAGTATAGAAATACTTGTTTTTTTTCATGATTCCACTATTCACTTTCAATACAAAACATTAATTAGATTTAAATCATTCCTTCCCTTAAAATTGTTTAAAACTTCTGCTTCACATGTTTTAGTTAAATGAATAAGGAAATTAATACAAAAATTTACATTTTGGTTCAAATTAGTATAACAATGACGTATTACAAATTTTAAGGCAGCGAATTATTCCTTGAACGCCCCACGGATCGCTGACCAACACTTTATCATTAGACATTTAACACGGAGCAACGCTACTGTATAAATACATCTACTGTGGTTTTGCCTCCCTAAGGAATTACAGTGAATGAGTTGAAAAATAAAACAATAGCATCATGCTATCAAAATGAGCAGTGGCATTATCATGCTTGACTAAATTCAACATTAATGTTTTAAAAGCCTGTAAATACATACAGGAACTATAGAAGGACGATTATTTTAAAAAATCGACTTAATATCTAATCGAATATTTTATTCCTTTAATTGTTCGATTAATATGCATCGAGTAGGCTTTATTAAATTAAATATTTAATCTAATGTAATCGATTAATTTCATATCAATTTATAATAATGCATAAAGCGTTAAAAATTACTATTTTTTTGTTTGACACTATTAAATACAAGTTGAGTTATTAATCATGTGAAGCAAAAACGTCAGTATATTGCACTTGACGTGCTGTCAATCGAATTGATAAATTCTGACTGTATACCCGAGAATATCGACTTGAGGACCCGGGAAAGAACCTTGTCTAGCAAGGCACGCCTAATTCAGTGCAGTCTGAAATCGTAACTGACTCCAGTCTGCAAAGTTTCAAATTATTTTCAGTTGCAGTGTTTTCAAAAATTAAGCATTCAAGCTCTACAAGACAAATCACAATTACAAATAATATGGTTAACATTATTGACCCAAGGCGTACTATCATGTCATAATATAAATCATGGCCCGTGTTATATAAATTACACGTTATTCCCATTTAAAGTGACGAACTGTCTCAACTCATTTCACGTATCCTTGGAATATTCTAAAAAATTACAAGAATAAAAATCCTGAACATAGCATTCATTTTCTTGCGGCATTATAATACATGCGTCCTTATCAAACATACTATCAAATTGCTCTTTAGCTCAACAATAAGTGTGACATCTTTTGACTGTACGTCCCTGCTGAGTTTTCCATGCTGGATAGTTTATTAAAACACATCTCTCATTTCATTAAGAAAGAGGAAATAATTGTAGCAGAAATGAAAAGAGTGCAAAAAACTATGCTTTTCATCAAGCATTTAATGAAACAAAAGACGAACATTTTAAATAATGTATGCATATATAGAAACAATAGGTGTAGTAGAATTACCAGTATTCGCAATAGCAGGACATGCTTCGGTACACCGTTAATGCGAGGTGTCACCACGAATCTGTGGTAACAAATGAAAATGACATCAACAAATACGTAGGGATCAACTAGATAGAATAATTACTATGTAGAGTAGCTGAAGCGCATGCATCTTTGCCACAAATTGGACGCCCAACCATTTTTTCAGTGAAGATCGTGTTTGGCGTGGGGCATTTCTAATAGAACTCTCAACTTGAGATCTCCCAACCCCAAACAAATTACATTAAGAAGAGAACTACATGGTGGAAATAGAAATCTGGTACTCCATAATGAAAGTTAGGAAATAATTAACCATAACAATAATTGTTACAATATTTATTACAGCACAAAGCTAACTTTCGGGAAACACTTTTTCATCTTCACTGGGTCTATAACGAGGAGAAGCAAAAATGAGAAAGTAACAAATTAGGGACACCATGGAATGAACTCATGGATGTTGAATAAATATTATAACTATTAATGCTGTGGTTGATTATTTCCTAACTCACATGTTGGTTTTTATTTGTAAGAGTCGAAAGTAATATATGTAATTCTGATGAAGTAACTTTGTTTTCCATCTCGAAGTGTAAATATATTCAAAGGTCATGGATAGATTCGATCCTCAGAAAAAATGAGTAAATTAATCAGCAAAGTTTATATTTGCAAAAATTCTGAAATGATCACACTATTGTTAAATGTTCGGGGTCGGGGTTAAGCAAGTTATGTAGAAAAAAATTGGGGATAAATGTGATACACTAAATATTGTTATTTTTTGATATACAAAAATTGGAGAGTGTTTCTTCAGTGTCCGGGGAGGAAACGTCGAAAATTAGAAAGTAAGCACTTAAGACAATTTTAAGCATATTTTGTCGAATAAACACCTTCGCTATTCCGAATGGCTAAGCCGCTATAAGCACTTCAAATTGGTTTGAAAAAATTCTTTCTAGGCAAACATTTGCATTGCAACAATTCGGAATATCATAGTGGTTTATTAGACAA